ATAATAAAATCTAATATAGTTAAGATTTAATACTTAATTTAAATAACCATTAGAATCATGCCTAATGTTACTTTCTAAAAAAAAATCCCAAACCATTTTAATATATATACTGAGAAACAAAAGTGAAATGGTGACCATTTACATTTTGATATTTTTTTTTTAATTCCAGAATTCTGGACGCTTTCTAACTAAAGTACAGCTCCCACAACATACTCCCTTCAGGAGAAGGAGAGAGAGAGAGAGGTTTTTGTGTGCGCGCGGGTGTCTAGTTCTTAAATCAGTCCATTGTGGGGAATGTGTTTTAAAAAAAACAAATCCCTGAGAACTCCTGCTTGTTTTTGCTGAGGGGGGAAGGAGAGCTGTTGCTTTTGTTGTGTCTGAGTAGCCGTGCAGTTTTTAGTAACTCTGCAAACATGGGCATGAGAAGGATGTCCCTGTAGAGGCAATGAGGCATGAAATCCCCCAGTTCCTTTACGCAGTAACAACAGCCACATGAAAGAGCAACATGCAACATGTCACTATATATAATTACACAGCCCCCGGGCGCTGGTGGAAAAAGGGGACTGGTAAGGCTGTGTTTTGTAACCTATTTGATGCACATACCCACCGTCTCTCGCTTTTAATTTATTGCACTCAACTTTTAGGAACTTTTAATTCATTTCACACACTGTATTTTCCCAGTAACAACTTCCACGCGCAACCAACCGCGCGCACACACACCACTTTCTAATTTGCACGTCCAATCCTCCTCCACTTTCCCTAACCATACACTACAGTGCCTGGCGTTTAACACACACATTTGTCGCGGGTCGTTTCTCCCTTTACAATTTTTCACCTATGTGTACACGATAGAGCACGGTGTGCATATACCCTTTCCTTTTAAACCTATGGCATATTATGTTGAGTTCTTGTGCCTCCACGCCAGCACCTCTGGTAAGAGAAACCAGAACGCGACAGGAAAGGCGCGCGCCGCCTTGCAAAGGGGCAGAACGTGGATCCAACCGAGGCGCTTCTTTTGCCTCTGCGGGCGCCAAAAGAGCAAGCGCCCGGCGCGAGCGCGCTCTGCCTGCCCGGCGCTCTCTGTTGATTGGCAGGAAATGGCCACCGCTAACCTATCCGAAAAGCCCTTCGAAAAGTCGCCCCCGTGGTTTGAAAGGTCTGCACTGCACCTAAACATACACGCCCCGGGGCGCCCAAGGCGAAGCGTCTCAAGCCTGCAGCAATTCTCTGCACGCTTGCTTGAGAGGACCAGTGAACGTAGGGCTTACTTCTAAGTAGACCCGCAGGAGGCGCCTCACATTCTGCTTCCCACTGGCATCAGGTTGGCCACCGTGACAACAGGATGCTGGACTAGATGGGTCAGTGGCCTGAGCAGGCTCTTCTTACGTTCTTGGGTCGCTTGGAGGCATTGCAACTTCGGCTAGGCTACGCCCATAACCCGCCATTACGACTCTTTAAAGTCCCAGCATTTTAAGAGCACGCAAATATGGAGGAGAGGCGGAATATTTGCGTCCCTTTTTCCAAAGCCGAACATATATGATATACCGTGCCATTATTTATTGGTTGCATAATTTTTGTATCCCCTCCCCCCGCCCCGCATCCTCCAAGGGGCCCGGGAAGGCGCGTGTGCGGTTAACCCGCATTCTCTCACATCCCTGAAAGGCCAAAGCAGGGCCCAATAAGCTTCGCGAGACTGATTTGAACGACGTCTCGTGGCGCGGCCTAAAGGCCCGCTGGGCTCAGGGGGCCGCCCTGCCGCCGATCAGCAGGTCCGAGATCGGTCAGTTCGCGGATGGGTCACCGCCCGGGAGCCCCAAAGACGCTGCTTTGGGTCCCGTGTTGGAGGGGAGGGGAGACGTTAAATGCAGGAAAATAAATAAGCAAGCTGCCCCCAGATGCTTACTTGGAAAACACGAACATGAGCTCTCGGGCTTGAGCCTGAAAGTGCCTTTGCAAAAAGTTCTCATTGCTATACTTTTGTGGGGAAGAAGCACGAACTTCAGAGTTCATGACAAACCTAGGTATTTCATATTTCTGCGAAAGAAACGGGGATGTTTCCTAATTTCCTTCTAAAAGGAACGTTTTATCTGTATTTAATTCTGGGGAATTTTGAAGGGGGGCCAAGAATGATCTTGGCACTGAAGGGGCAGGGAAGAGAGAGAAACAGAAACGGAGGAAAGAAAAAGAAGGCCCGACCCTTTTCCTCTCCCAAGTGACTTCTGTCTAGGACTAGGTGTTCAGAGAGTGAAGGGCACGAACAGCGGCTTGGTTTTATGTCCTCTGGTCTGCAAGTGCTCGTTTGTTGTCGCGGGACGCATTTCCATTTAGGATGGTCGCCAAAATCCCGTTGCTGCTGTTCCTCCTCGCCCTTCACGCTCCCAACTATAACACCCTGTTGTTGCTCAGGTCTGCGGGCTTCTTGTTATCTGGCCGCGCAGCGCCTCCGAGAGCACCCAGCGTCCCTTGCCCGAGGCGGGTGGAGGCAACGAAGCGGCCTCTGCTGGGGGTGGACGGGGCCTGGTCGGGCGCGCAGGAGACCGTGGGGGAAAGGGCACCGCCCTTGCGGGGAGAGGCCCGGCGGATGACAGACAGGCCGGGGGACAGCGCGAGGCAGGTTGCATTTCAAAAGCCATCCGAGCTGAAACGGGTCGGGTTTCTGTTCACACGGGGAGGCCGCCCCGCCGCCGCCAGCAGCACGGGCGGGCGACCAAAGGCAGCCCTTGCCCTCCACCCGCTCCTCTTTCGTCTCTGTGCCCGCCTGCCTCCTCCTTTCTCCTCGAGTCTCTGCGTTTGACATTCATTGTAAAGGCCCGTCCCCCCTCCATTCTGTGTCCCTCTCCCTTCTCCCGTCATTCCCGCCTCTTCTTGCACTTTTCTGCCTCGGTTCTTTTTCACACTCCCCACTTCACTGCCTTTTTCTTTAACGTTTGCCTCCCCCCCCCCCCGCTTCCCTCTCTTATGTCATCTTACTATATGCCATGTCAGTGAGTTAGGCACAAAGGAGCCAGAAGTCTAAAAATCTCTAATCCACGAAATGCTCCTATAATGTCTATGTGAAGAGTTGAGAGTGCACTGAAGCCTTAATGTGCTGGAATAAATCCCTTTGGGTTTATTTATTTGAGTCTGAAATAAGGCCCACTGAATTCCATCATGTATAGGACTACACTGTGTTAGTTGACCTGTATTGATGTTGCTATTATTTGAAGCTGTAAATGCAACAAGATGTAAATATAGTGGTAATCCAATACTTCCCACCCTCTTCCATTCCAATCCTGCCTCCAATCCATGGCCAGCCCAATCATGAGACAAGATGAGGTGACTGCCTCAGGCGGCAGAATCCACAAGGCCAATGGATCCCAATGTAGATCTTGAGTCTGCCAGTGCCTTTGTTCCTGGTATCAATCTTCACTCCTCCACTTCTTCCATGGCGGGGAAGGGAGGTGCCATTTTGTCTTGAGCCGGCCCTGCTACAACCACATTTCACTCAGTTGCCTTGTGAACTGGAAGACAGAACGGGTTCCCATAAGAAACACTGCCAACAGAGATACAGTGAGAGGCAATGAAACCCCCACTCCCATGAACCCTAATCCCAAGGATCCCAGCTTTCTTTTCTTTTTAAAAGGAAGGTTCCGGCATTTGTAGAACCTGAGGTAGGAAGCCAAGAGTACAGTCACTAATTTATTTATTTATTATTGTGGAGGGAGGTAAGAAAGCAACTTTTCCTTTCCCCTGAAAAATTCCTGCAGGCTGTAGACGTTCATGGCCAGAGGACACACTCAAAATCACATACGCCAACAAATAGGAGGGGGAGCCCTGGTTTAAATCCTCTGTCAAACTAAAGCAAACGCTGCCTGCCGAGTTTGTTGTGGCTCCCTCCTTTTAATAGGCCACAAGCATGTTTGTAAGCAAAATGCGGCCTCTGATGCTGTGCAATGACTTTTCTTCTAAAGTGTGTCTTTATGGTGTTACGTGTTATATCTCAAGCTGCAAGAAAATTTCCAGACATTCAGTCTGCTCAACCACTTTTGATTCCTACCTTCTAGAACCATTCCAAAAGAGCCCAGGATGGCAAAAAAGTGATAAAGCGATAAAGACATCCTAAAGCATATTTGAAACATTTTGTTAAAGAACCCTGCAAGTGTCACTGTTAATTATTCCTAAAGTGACCTCTCTTCCCACTCTCCTCTTTCTGTCTGCAAAGGAGAAAGATACGCCCGTGCGCTTAGTTCTCCTTGCAGAAGTGAGGGAAGAGAGTCATACCATGAGGGGGAAATCCTACGCCTGTTGACAAAAATCCTTCCTCGTCCGTAGACGGTACCCAGAGACGACCAAAGAGTTGTCTCCCCTACAAGCAGTCCTTCCTCATAGTTTCTGCCTTTGTTTTATAAATAGGACAAAGCTCGTCCGCTCCACCCGGATCTTTCCCTAAAGCTCTCTTGTGTTCTCCTGCAGTATATACGTCGGTGCAAATTATTTCCCGTCAAACTTTTTCCCCCTCTGGAACTTTTTCCAGTGTTGGGTCAGATTTGAGAAGTGTAAACGCTGCGTGTCCGGACTGACATTATTCGCGCATGCATCTGCGCTTGTTTATGTGGGTTTTATGAATCCCTTTTGCAGTCTGTGGCTTGCTTCGCTGGCTGCGAAGCCACCTAGCAGAAACACACGCTTTGATCAGTTCCTGCCCGAGCTATCCCCGTGCCGCAGCCCAGCTCCGCAGAGCTGAAGGTGTCTCCCGGCCAGCTCCAGCCACCCTCCCGCCCTCTTTCCTCCCGTCTCCCTTGCGCGCTCGAGGTGCTCCGGGCTTTCCCACGCTTCCAAGACGCCCAGGAGTGTTTGGCGCCGGGACCGCTGCCGCGCTTCAGCCAATGAAGAAGCGGGCAGAAGCGCCGGGGAAGGAGGCCTGTCACTCACTCCTCCGCTGCCCCAATCCAGAGGGCTCAGCCGGAGGAGGAGGGGCGTGGCCTCGCCCCTCCTGTGGGCGGGCTCTTGTGCTCGAGGCTGAGCTGCAGCGTGGGAAAGAGCTTCAGAAATCCATTCAGTTCGCTGGCGCCGGCTGGGGAGGGATAGGCGGGCTTTAATCCGGAGTCACTGTCCAAAAAGGGAAACCGCAGACCTGAGTTCTCCTTGTTTATCTCCTGATTTGGAAGCTGGACTCTTTCCTTGGGCCACAATGAAGCGGCCTTGTGAGGAAACTACCTCAGACAGCGATATGGACGAGACTATAGACGTGGGGAGTGAAAATAATTACTCTGGGTAAGGACGAAGTTTCTTCGTTCCCGGGTTTGTTTTTTTATTTGCAACAAGAACAAAAAATCTGGACCGTGCCTCCTCTTTTTCTGTGGGAGGGGGTGGAAGAGGAGGATGGGGAGCCAGATCAAAGGCACCCCCACCCGTGTGGGGTTTCTTGGTGCCCCTTTTTGACTTCTGTGCAGTGCTGGATATTCTGGCATCAGAGGGGCAGTTAAGCAATTTTAGATCTGGTCTTGATGGTTTTGTGGAAGGGAGCGGGGTAAGAGTGCTGTTTCACTGTTAATATGTATTAGACAATTTGCTTCAAAAACGTGGCAAGGCAGCCCTATTAAGCTTTGTGGCCCTGCTACTTACTCATTTTGCTGACGGGCTTCTGAAGTCCTGCCCTGATGAATGGCACCCCGTTTTGTTAGGTTCTAATAGAAAGTAGGGGGTCTATTTTCTACCCTACTCGGACGTCACACTTCTTTCCCCCAGCTATCTACTTTTCCCTTCACTAACTGGCACCCTCGGTTGTAAAAAATTCTCTGGGGGATATATGTAAGAGCATACCTTAAGTTTGTCTGGGCAGAAAAAAAACATAGCAACAGTAGCAGAGTACTGTACTTTTATCACAGTCAGCCATATAGTCTTGGTCAATATACATCTTTTGGAACTGTTCTTTAGTGCTAGATGTTAAGCAAAAAGGGGAGGGTGGGGGATGGAGTATCACATTTTGTGTCCTGTAGGCTGTTGACAATTAGCATGTGTTGAGTAGTAGCAGTACTGAACTAGTAGATTCTGTGTGAAGTGGAGCTGTAGACTAGAATTGGGGTGGGAGGCATCCCTTGAAATACCTGAACCAGTCTTATAATACTAATCCTGTGTTACTAGAATCTTTCTAGGTGTGTACTGTTGTAGGTCATTGTCAGAAAAGAAGGCAAATCCAGTATAAATCACCTCCAAGCAAATGACCTGGGTTTGCCTGCTAGGAAGGATGGGGTGGAAAGGAGTTAAAGTCTCAGCTGTACCTACTGTTGTTTAATATGGACACTAAGTTTCCTATACCTCCATAAATACTTCAGTTCTGCAGATCACTGCCTTCCCACACTTTCTTCCCCATCAATCTGGATTGTCTCATAACAAGGGATACTTCAAACATCTGGATTAATACAGGAGAAAGTGTGGGAGGCATTGATTTAGAAGAGATTTTCTTATGGACAAGGAATAATTAATGGAGCTACCAGGCTATTCACATTAAACAACAGTATGGATGAAACCTAGAAAAGAAGAGAGATTGATTAGAATGCTATAGAAATCAAATGGGGGGGCACAGTTGCTTCAGAATAATAGGTGGAGCTGGAGCATTGTTGAGATAAGTAGAGCAAGGTATGCTTCATTACATCTGCTTGTGTAACAATCCTCAAGGCCTTGAGATGTTTGTGGTGAGAGTGTTTGAAGAAAGGGTGCTTGCTATCAAAGCAAAACAAGATATTTTCACAAGAGGGCTGTCAACCAACTGAATTATATTAGTTGATTAATCAGCTAAATAAATTTGAATTTTACCAAGTCTCAATATAGAGGCGGTGGGGTTGGTTTGTGAAGAAAATAGAAAACAACTGAATAAGTAACACTGCAATTCTAGCTCTACTTACCTCGCAGTTAGTGGCACCTACTCAGTAGGGGACTTACTTTCTAAGTAGACATGGCTTGGCTTGCTCTGTTAATAAACACAATTTGTGCCTAATTTTTAGGCTGCCCTTACTATTTAATTTCATGAAACAATGCAGAGCCAAAGCTAAAACAAAGTTCAGCCAGAGTTAGACATGTTTAACTCCCAATTATATCAGTGGCATGCTTAAATCTCTCATTGAAAACTTGGTAGTATCCAGTCCTAGTCTTACTCAGTAACATGTCCATTGATTTTAATGGGTTCCCTCAGAATATGACTTCCTTGGATATTGCCCAGTGGGACTAAAAAAGGGGGGGGGGATTGATTGCCTGCACACTGCGGTAGTTTTTGATAGAATTTTGTTAACAGAGATGCTGTAAAAAGATAGCAGTAAAATTACTGTTTCAGTCATTGATTCCCTTTGTCTTTTAAAATGCTGTTCTCCTGAGTTTGCTCAGACATGTCATGATTTGGGAGTTTAAAGAGGCATTATCCACATGATGCAATAAATCCAATTGCTTTTTATAATCCATTTTAAATTAACCTGTTTCAGGGTATCTACACAGTAGTAGTATTTAATGTTAGCCAGTTGGATTTATATAGGCTGTACACAGTGCAATTTTTTTCTAGCAAAAGAGATACTGCAGCTCACCATGAACTTCCACCGTGTTCACCTGAGAGATGCTAGAACTGAGCTCCTGTGAGCTTCAGCTGGAAAAAAAACAACACCCTGGCTGTAGTAGTTTGGTCTCAATCCCAATCAAGATGGTTAGTGTAGATTAGCTGGACAATTACATCTGAATTTCATGGAAATATTGTGTAAGTTTTAAACCTTAAATCCAATTACAGTAGTGGTATGCCACAAGTCGCTTACTCTGGGGTAGTATCGTAGAAGTCAACAGAGAAAATTTAATTCCAATTAATGTTGTTATCTGAGTGCAGCAAAAAAATGTAGCTGGATAAATGCAGAGGAGGAAATACTAACAGGTGTTTGCATACTAAATTTAGGTTCTAGGGCCTGTAGTATGTCAGAAATGATCACCTAAATATATGGGCTGTCAGTAAAAAAAAAGTTTCCTCTTCGTTGAGGTCCAGATGATATATATGTCATATGCAATTGCAATTGGTTGTTATAAAAGAAAAGGAAACAATCTATTCAGAATGAAGTAAAAAATGGCTTACATAGTAATCAGTGGGACATACAACTATTTAACTCTGACTGGATTGTCTCAAGAATTTTAAAATATTTAATCTGGAATTATCTAAAGCAATGTGATTGACAGATGAGGATAATTGATGGACTGCCTTAGATTCAAAGCAGTCTAGTGCAGTCAAACTCAGCCCTCCAGATGTTTTGGGACTACAACTCCCATCATCCCTAGCTAACAGGACCAGTGGTCAGGGATTATGGGAGTTGTAGTCCCAAAGCATCTGGAGGGCCGAGTTTGCCTATGCCTGGTCTAGCGGTTCAAGCGACTGTCAACTAAAAGGGGCTGTAATTGAGGTTATCCTTCTGAGATGAATGGAGATTGCACAACAGAAGTGCCTGATAATTTTGTTGAAGGCTGGGCACTCTGCTTTTTAGAAAAACCCAAGCATCCTAATCAAGTTTGTTAGAATATGAAGCATTTTACAATCCAACATGCGTAGTTAGGAAATCTCATTGATCTCGGTGTAATATTTGTATTTCCAAGTGCTGACCATTTTTTGGTTAATGTTGTTTTTTGTACACAGATGTGAGTTTAGTCAAAATACATGCACCTTGCATCAGCTGTGAATATTTCTTGTGTGTGTGCTCGGCAAAATACATGGAAGTGAGCCTAATCCTTTTCAGCCTGCTGCTTCTATATCTTTTGCTTGATAAAGTAATTTCTGCCAAACATAGGCAAGTCAGAGGCGTGTCCTTTTTGTATCAGGTATTTATTTCTGCTCTATTGGAAGCAGTAGGCTTGAGGGTGCTCAATATTAGACACTTAATCAGTAGTTCTTTTGAGTACATGGTTAATACATTTGAAATCATATATAATGAATATTTTACATATTTGCCGGTACTGAGGTCACCCAGTCAGGTTGAACTCAAGACTGTGGAATATTTTGGGAGGACTCTTTTATTTTTTAAATGAACTTCTTGGTGAGCGAATTTAAAGGGGATGGTGTGATGGGGCTGAAGAGTGGTAGTGAAAGTTTTCTTCTGCCTACTTCCATATTTTACAGAGCACTTGAAACAGGAATGGGGAACCTGTGCCTTTTTAAATGTTGTTGGCCCCACCATCTCTTAACCTTTGGCCATCCTGACTAGGGCCAATGAGAGTTGGGTGTCCAACAGTATATAGAGAACCTCAAGTTATTATAATTCCTATTTTTAAAATTTCTATACTGTCCTTCATCTGAGGATCATAGGGCGGTTTACGATATAAATTACATAGCACTCGTGTTGGTGGGAGGAGGGAGGCATTAGACCCAGGGCTGGCCCTATGATGAGGCAAAGTGAGGCAGCTGCCTCAGGTGGCAGATGCTGAGGTACGGGGAGGAAACAGCTGTGAGTTCCATGTGGCTTGCCTTGACACCCCTACGCTAGCCTGCTGCCCTTAAGTGTAGTGGAAGAGACTGTCCTTTTGCCAGTACAGCTGAAAACAAAAAAGTTGTACAAAAAAGGACAGAGTAAAACAATACTTGCTTATTGTCCTTAATTTTCAGCATTTGTAAAGTAAGATTTTGTAATTGGAGTAAGATTCAACTTCCAGTCGAATTGGCTTCTGTGTGTGTGTTGGCAGAAGACACCACCTTTTCCTTCGCCTTGGGCGGAAAAATGTCTTGAGCTGGCTCTGTTTAGACCTCTGCAACAAACAACACAATAGGATGCTGTACCTGACATGCCTTTTCAACTGTTCCTCAGGCACAGCGCCAGTTCAGTGATCCGATCAAATTCGCCTACAACAACATCTCAGATCATGGCCAGGAAAAAGCGAAGAGGGGTAAGGGTTTCCTTTATATTTTTAATGTAACAATTGCATTTGTTTCTGCTGTTTTTACCTTCTATGCACCTTAACTTTTATATCAATTTATTGCTTTGTTTTGGCAATAGATCATAGAAAAAAGGCGCCGTGATCGCATAAATAACAGTTTATCCGAACTGAGGCGGCTTGTGCCAACAGCATTTGAAAAACAAGTAAGCATAAATATTCTGTATCTCAACTCATCTGGTCATGTTGGGTCTTTCATAAAGCTCATTAAAAATAAGGCTGGATGTGTTCTGATCTGGCACAGAGCAGGCACTTCAATAAAATGCTTTGTTGTGGCAAAACTATTAAAAGCAAAATTCTCCACAAGGCTGAAAAACATTTCCATTCTCTGGTTTGCTGTTCCCTTAAGGGCAATAGTGTTCGTGTTGTCTCTGTTCTTTCTATGCATTCCAGTAGTGGTTTTGTTTTGCTGTTTTTAAAAGTGCTTTATTCCTTAGTTTTTTAAAAAACCCACACATGTCAAATACCCTCCTGCATAAATCTTTTAACAGCATTGTATTCTCATCCCTCTCGTTTCTGATCCTTTTTTTATTTAATTCTAAATTTAATTAGTAAAATAATCTGATTGTTTCAGATCCTTAATAAGCTGGCTATTTAATAAACTCTCTCAAATAAATATTTAAATTCTTAAAAAGAAGCTGTTCAGATATACCGTAACAATTGTTGCTAGTGCTGCAGCTCTTTGAAGTGGTCCAAGTTGGAATACAATTTTTTAAATGTAAGTTTTTGCAGGGTGATCACATGAGATGGGTGAATAAAAATTATTTCCTATATATAAAAAAGTTATTTATTCCATCCATTCTTAAGCTGCCCAACATCTATGAAGATCCCAGGCTGGTTTATACAAGAAATCTATTTAAAAAATAAAATTAGCATTCTTCTTGCAGAATTGTCCCAGCCAAAACTTTGTGTTCACATGTTCTGATGTAATGTGTCGGCACACTCATTATAATTGCTGATCTTTCTATATAGTGTTTTATTTATTTTGGATGTTTTTGTCTTGCTTTCGCAAAAAAAAGTGAAACGTTGTGCAGAACCCCATTTTTAAATGTAAATTTGTGATTCCTGAGAACAGCACAAATAGGTTTCGTCAATATTGCTAAGCGTAACGTACTTCAAAAGATTTCCACTGACTTTATAGAATCATAGAACTATACGGGATGAAAGGAACCTTACTCTTCTGTGGAATTATTCAAGGTGACATGAAGTTGTGTTGCATGCACAGGAGAAAAATTAAATCACTTCAGTCACCATCTTATAAGAGTTGGAGGAACACAAGTGTTGTATTTGGATCATTTCTAAATATGAAAACACAACCTCTCGATTAAGCCCCTTCAACAATAACAAAAGTTTGGAGGGTTTTTAGTATCTCATTACTGACTCGTAACCAGTTGTGATTCCTTGACTTTGGGAGAGAAGTCTGCAGAAAGGTGCTTCTCTTGGTGCTGAAAATGCAATAGGTCCAAAATGGAGGAATGTAATTGCAGCCTCGAAATTGCAATCATTATGATTTACAGTGGAATCCTGTACATAAATGTCTACTTGGAAGTAGGTCCCACTGAGTTAAATGGGATTTATTCCCTGATGAGTGCTCATAGGATTACGACCTCAGAGTGGAGCAGAATCATTGAAATCTAAGGGAATACAATGCATTTTCTATGGGGTAAGTATTTTGAACGTAGGCTCTGGAATAGATTGCTTGCACGGAAGAAAGCGTGAGATGAGTATCATGTTATATAACACAATGAAACCCGTACGAAATCAACTTACATGAGTTAACTTTGAAACTCTGAGAGAATGCTTGTTTATGTATTTGAGGAATTATTCTCTGTCCTTCAAAAATTGAAACTACATGGTTCAGGTTCATACCACTTAGTCTGGAATAACATGACAATAATATTATAATAATTTTATTATTTGCACCCCACCCATCTGACTCTGGTTGTTTTTGGAATAAACAAAAACAAAAAATGGACTACAAACAAAAATACTATTGTTAACAGGAACACTTTCATGTGAGACTATGTAACAGTGTCAGATGATTACAATTCCTGTACACAAGAGGACAAGGGAGTCCTTAGTGCAGCTCTCAAATGAAAGAGGAAGATATATTTCTGCCTCTAGGGGGCGCTGCCATTGGCACTAGGGATGGAAGAAGGTTTCAGGGCCTTCTTTGTGGAAGGATAGAGAAGGTCAGTTCAAACTGGGCAACCCTTAGGGCCATGATAACTAGAGTGATGACAAATATGAAGAATTGGAAGAAGTAGAAACTGAAAGCAATAGCTGAGAAAGCAGAGCTAATTAAATTTCGTGTACATTCATTGAGTCTTGGTTATCCCTTTGCTTTTCCCCTCATTTCTTTTTATGGAAATTAGTGCTTTATGTCTGCTTGACACAGGAGGACTGGAGGAGATGTAATATTTTTCTTTGTTTTACTAATGTTGGTGTTTGTTTTTTGCCTGCTCCTCATAACCTGGCATAGTCAAAGAAGTTTCTTACAGGTCAGGTTCCTTATAGTCCAGCAGCTTGTAGCTCAGTTTGTAAACATTTTCTTTTAAAAAGTACTGTTTTGTGTGTGTATAAGACTAGGTTTTTCCCTAAAAAATAATGTCAAAAATTAGGGGGCACCTTACACACAGATACATCTCTCCCCCCATTTTCTTAAATCTGAGTCCCCTAAAATAGGGCATGTCTTATACGGTAAATTCAATTTGGGATTATTGTCTGAATAAACTGTACTTTATAATAAACTAGACATGATAATTTTATGGCAAACCATAATGCATTTTATGTTCCTAAGGTAACAAAGTGACTTTCAAACTGTTAATGGTTGAAAGCACACACACACCCATATATATATATATATATATATATATATATATATATTCCACACATGTATATATATTTACCCAAACTGGGGGGGAAAACCTCTTCCCCGTGGCTTCAAATTTTCTGGAAATATTACATCTCCAATTTTGATTCCCAACACTACTTTCCCCCTCAATGGTCATGAAATGTTCTATTAAGGGAGCTATCCCACATTGGAAGAAAACAAGCACTTTTATTTTAGGCCATATGTAGATCTCCCTATTCTTGCAACTCCTTCTCATATCTCAGTGTAGGGAAAGTTGATGTGTTTTATATATGGTGGAGTAGATGGTATATACTATGCACAGACTAGGCCTTTAATGCAGGTACAAGCGGATGGGGAGGGGGGGGAGGGTAATGACTATGAGCAGGCAAAACACCATTCCTGCTACCCACACTATACCTTTAGCAACTTGCATAGCTCAGCAGACTTTGGCAGCATGGGAACATGGAGTTGTCCTGAGCTAGTCAGAGAAAGTGGGACAAGGGACAACAGTTGATTGTCCCATTGCATTGTTTACTTCTTGAAAACCACAAACATTATAAAGGCTTCTAAAGCTGCTGGAAATTACCCAGCATCGGGCAGCTATTACTCAGCTCTTGCTAAAAATGTTTGTGTTGGGTCAATGGAAAAGATTAGCACTGAGGAAAGTACAAGTTGTAATACAGGGGAAAGATAAGGACGGGGGAAGGAAAAGCAAAGCAAAGCAATCTAAGATAACCCGGGTCATATAAAATCTAAAAATGCCAAGGCTTACTGTGCTTATTACATTTATAAAAATAATAAATAATACGGGGAAAGGGCCATCGGAATAAACTTCCATACAGTCTGCCAGGCCACGTGTTATCATTGCTGTCTAGTCTTGATCAAATGGCTTTTTTAAAAAAAGAAAAAAAGAAAATAGCATTAGTATTCAGGTTTGTTGTAATCCAAGTCATCCTGAGAAAAGCTACACATCCATTCTCTTTACTGGTTTAACTGAAGATACCGTTGAATGTTCTTCAGCAGACTTCTATGACTGCTATATATAGATACATTCAGTTGGCTCTTCAAAGGGAAAGATGACCATTTCTGCTTAAACTTTATTTTTTAAGACATACCCCAGTCTTTCAATTGACTGATTGTCTTACAATACAACACTTGCACGCACACAAGCTTGTACCCTGGGCCAGCGCATGTTTCTCTTTGGTTCCCCTGTTGGATCAAACGGTTCTTCCTCATAGGGAAGCAAGCTCTTTTCAATTTCTCCTTCAGTGGAGAATGGATTGGGCTATGCTGCTCTTCCCTTTGCCATGATGTTTTTCCTGGGAGGCCAAGAGTGCCGCCTTCCATTGGCCATTGGTCCCTTGGCTGACCAGAGGGTGCTTCCAACAAAAATAAATCAATCATTGAGTCGCTAAGCAGAAATCACAAGCTTTTCATTTGAAGGCATATAGCAGTCTTAGACATTTATTGAAGAATATTTAAATTGTGTATGGAGTTCCAGCAGCAAAGATAATGGACTTTTAGGGATCAGAGTGTTGCGGAGCCTGAGCAATTTTGAGTGCACAAATTGCTTCACAGTTACTTGCTCATTTATTCTGAGGACCATACTGGGAGTTAGTTAGGCTGAGAGAGAAAGTGACTTTTAGAAGTTGGTTGCTCAGTAAGATGCACAGACTTGGACTTCTCATGTTCAAGCACAGCACTCGATGGCTTGACTCGCAGCTGAATGTGTGAATAGGTGCTATTGAAAAGCAATGTGCTTTGAGGTAATGCAAGATGAAACGTAGGTTGTCTTTGCCTTGATAGAACTGGGATGGCCATAGCAAGTCTTGGATGGAGCTCTGAACATAACTGCACACTGTAGAGGTAAACCCAAGATTTTACACCTAATCGCATAGGAGAGCAAAAGGGACATATGAGTAGGGGGTGCTGAACCCCCATCCCTCCCACAATTACCCCTCCCTTTCCAAGGTTACTTTCCTGCCAGCTGGCTTCATATGTCAGAAATGAGCTCAAGATGGATAAAGTGACTTGGGGGGGGGGGAGAGGCTGTGGGGAGATAAGCAGCAGGCCCTGGAATAGTTCGTCCCTTCCACTGATCCACTGACCCCTTTTACTATATAAATTGGGCTGCCCCACTCCTTTGCTTTTTATGTGATTGAGGCAGACTGGAGTCTAAACAAGCTGGCCTCTGCCAGCATTGGATATAGCTTGGTGCTTTGTTATATAACTCAAGTGTTTCATTTTGGTGGCACTGGAAAATAACAGGTGGAATTCAATGTTGCTCTAAGTGGGGAATGAGCATGAGAACAAGCTCATGCAATGGGACTTCGCCCTCCCCCCCCATATGCACCCCTAAACCGATTCTGGGATTTCTCCAAGATTTAGGGGGCACAGCAAAGAGGAGATGGGAGGAAGTTCCACCATGGGAGTGTATCTTGTTTCACACATGCAACAACTTACTTAAATCCCACCCAAAGCTTCCGAAAGGGAAAGGGCAGATAAGGGCAGTTCTGAAAGTTTTTGGTTCGGTTCCTGTTGAAATGGAGAAAGGGTTTTTTCTTCCATGAGAGTAAAATTAAAAAATGATTTTATGACCCCAGAAGATGGGCATCTTATCTGGCATCATTCATAACATGATGTCATTAACATCCCTACTGCAACTTAACCCTTAGAGCAGCTTGGCATTTAAAAAATGTTTTGAGATTTTTTGCAAGATGAATATTGAAGTATATGTATTGCTAAAACATGTTCTTCCTCTCCTTTGATTTAAATATGATCAAGGAGTCTTGTGGCACATTTAAAGACTAACATGCTCCAATGAGCTTTAATGATGAAGGACACTTTGTTGGATGCATGGGGGGGGCTCCTGTTCATGTGGACCATGTGTGTTTCACTTTTCCATTTTAAAGATGAACCAAGTCTCATAGGTTGTTTTTGGGAATCCATTCCACAGAATTGGGTTTAGATTTTCAATGAGAAGCTATACTCTTCTTTATCCAAGTGAAGACTAGGAATAGCTTTGAACAAGAATGTCTAGTTTCGCTAAGTTATGGGTCAGTGTGGGTAGCCTTTTAGTAAGTACAGGGATAAAGACACCACCCCTCTCCTGAATTCCTGATTTGTAAACAAATGCTTTTAAAAAATAAAAATATATAATTAACTGAACAAAATTTGTATTAAAACCAAGTATATTTTTCCTTAGCTGCAAAGCATAAACTTGTTAGGCATTACGGCTGTCCCATTCATTAGGCACAATTCACTGGGACATTGTGCTGCACATAACTCATTGCAGAAATAAATATCTTGCTGTCCTATAACTCCTGTTTATTTTATTGGGGCTTGCAAATAAGATTGTGCAACTCTGAGGTTTTCTTTGCCTTTCAGACCTGGTGTGGATCTTTGCACCTTTTCTTACTGAGACAGATTATCTAGGTCCATTTCAATCTGGTTTCAGGTCTGGTTGTAGGACAAATACCGTCTTTGTCATCTTGGTGGATGGCTTATGCTGGGAATTGGACAGGGGGAGTGTGTCCCTGTTGTTGGTTTTGCTGGTCCTTTCAGCAGCTTAACCATGGTATCCTTCTGGGCCACCTTGCTGGAATGGGACTTGGGGGCACTGTTTTACAGGGGCTCCATTACCAGTAATTTGGTAAAGAAAAAGTGTTTTATATGCATTGTATATGCAATATAACACTGTGACACTAGGTGGCGCTGTGGAGACATGTCTTTCCCTACCAGATTTCCTCATATGAGTTTGCAACGCGTTTAACTGAATTGCTTCTTTGACATGCCTAGATCCAGCCCCAGAAAGTGGTGCTGGGGGCCTCTTGTTTGATGCCTTGCCCATTTGCTTGTGGAGTGTCTCAGGTTTCTGTTCTGTCCCCCATGCTATTCAACATTTGGGAGAGGTCATCCAGAGTTTTTGGGGGTTTTGTGGCACCAGTGTGCTGACAAAACCTAGTTCTGTTCCTCCTTTCCACCTAAATCCAAGGAAGCTGTATCAGTTCCAAACAAGTGTCTGCCATCACTAATGGACTAGATGGATGAGGGTGAACAAATTGAAATGCAATCCAGACAACACAGAGGTGCTCTTGGCCATTTGGAAGGCAGAACAGGGAACTGGGTTTCAGCCTGTGCTGAATGAGTAACACTCCCCCTGAAGATGCCATTTCGCAGTTTGGGTGTGTTCCTGGATTCAGCTCTGACTGCAGCCAAGCTGTTGGCCAGAGCTGCTTATAGGAAGCATACAACTTCCTTGTTCCAACAGCTCCACTGTTCTGTTCCAGACACAATTAAAAGTGCTGGTTATAAGCCCTATGTGTCTTATTCCCAGGCTACCTGAAGAACTGTATTTTCCCATACAAACCTGCCCCGGCTCTAAGATCTTCAGAGGAGGCCCTTCTCTCAGTCCTACCACTCTCACAGGCACATCTATGGAGACATAGGAGAGGGCCTTCTTGGTGGTGGCTCCCAGACTTTGGCGCTCCATCTCTAGTGGGGCTAGACTGGCTCCCTCTTTGTTTTCCTTTTGTCAGCAGGTGAAGACTATTTTATTCCAGTAGGCCTTTGGGAACTGACTGCTTTTAAGGAAAGGGTTTTTAATAGTGCTGCACTGTTTTTAGTATCTGTATTTTAATAGGTATTTTTTTTACATTGTTTTAATTTGATTATTAAAGTTCAATTACTTTTTAACTATTTTTAAGCTTTTATCTTTCTGTGTTTTATTCAGGCTTCTTTTAATTTATGTAAGCTGACTTGAGTCCCGGTTCTGGTGGGGAAAGGCAATGTGTAAAATTAATAAATAATATTGATTTTTTTAAATGCTACTTTGAAAGTTGTGAATGTGTATATTTACTATACATGTTTTCCTTGTTTGCACAACTCTGTGCTTCATAGAAAATATGTGCTCAGTTTATGCCACGCTAGAAACTGTGATATAGTACTTGTGTGCAAAAATAAAGTGTGGGATACAGATGCTGGGTAGAAGAATTAAACTGAGAATGCTCTAATGGTTGGGAAAATTGAAACCATAAGATGGAGCTCAAAAGAGGGTATACCAAATCAAAGCATGCAATACTTTTAAGCCTTTATTGTTTGTGCCTCTTATCTCAAAGGGATCTGCCAAATTAGAAAAAGCAGAAATCCTGCAAATGACAGTGGATCATTTGAAGATGCTCCAGGCGACAGGCGGGAAAGGTAAGGAATTGATTTTTGTACTGTTTCTAATATTAGCAGGGGGAAATCTCAGCAAACGCTCCCTTTGACAAGCTGGGATAGGCAGTTCTAGATTAAAGGACTGGAAATCAATGCTAAAGGCAGGGTTGAACTCGTGGGAAAGAACTACGGGGACAAAAGAACCACTTGACCCTGGGCTTGTGTTTGCTTTCATAACACTGTGGGAGAGTAAAGGCTTCATTCACAGGCAGCCCAGTCAGAGATTTGTTTGGGGTTTCCAAAGAGCACTGAAATCGGCACAAGGGAGACAAAACAAATACCCCAAACATCCAAACATAAACAAGGAGGGCTGCGGCAACAATTGTGCTGCATGAAAAACCAAAGTTAAAATTCATTATGCAGCTGCTATACCACGGGAAGTGGATCCAGAGGAAACTTTCCTTATTGTTTATGTATTGCCCTTTGTTCTAGAAAGAATGTTTTCCATGCAAAATTAGGCTGTGCCATTCATTCACCAGGACAGCATCTAAGCTTGGATCTTCTGTTGGATTGTTAAGAGGAAACCCAATACCACTAGAAAAAGAGCTATCCACAATCAGTGCTTATTTTGTGCGCCTGCATGTTTGCGATGTGGAATTGGGAATGTGGCTTTCGAAGAGAATAATGTCTCTTTTCTTATCTCGTTTTTTGGGGGGGAAAGAAAAGCAAGCTGCTTTGGTTTAGAGAATTTTTGAAAATCCAGTTGCACTGCACACTAGAAATTCAGAAGCCAAACATCTGGAAGCCTAGAAAGTTAATTTAAAATTTTTTTTGTGGGTTACTTTATTTTTGTTGTTTTGTAAATGGAAATTGATAAAGTGAATAGGAAGTTTTGAACACTGGTAAATATATAATCATTGGGACTTTAGTGCTGGAAATTGTGTAGCTCAGATCTTTCCACAGTATTTCCCATTCACTGGTGGCCTTACCCAACCCACTGTATCTCATATTCAGTCCCATTCTCCAGTTGGAAGTATACCTTACAGTATGACTGTCTGAATTCCTGTGCAAATGTATGTGAAGGGTTTTGAGCATCCTCAAGCTCTGTATAAATTGGAGATGAATAACTTGCGGCCCTCTAGATATTGTTGGATATCAGCTCTGTTCAGTGTGGTTCATGACCGGGGTGATAGGAGTTGCACTACATCCACAACTGGAAGGCCGCCACCATCATCATCTTCTTCTTCTTCTTCTTCTTCTTCTTCTTCTTCTTCTTCTTCTTCTTCTTCTTCAATAGTAGCAGTTGTTGTTTTATTTATTCCCCATTCCTGTAATAAATCAAGGTTAGGGAACCCCATTATCCCTGACAATTGGCCATACTGGCTGGGGCTGATGAGAGTTGGGAGTCCAACTTCTGGAGGGCCACCAGTTCCCCATCCCTGGTATAAACACATTAACATTAGCATTAACATGAGGATTAGTATTAAGATGGGAATGACCGCTCCTCACATCAAATGGATGTTTTTTATGTGGTCGCGCACAGTCCCCCCTCCCCCCCCGATCCTACGCGGCTCCCTAAAATACAACCCGGCTTTGCCCCCTCCCACGCTGGATATCTGGAGGTTTCTGCCTAAGATAACCAATCCCGGCAAGGGGGGGCATTGCCAGGGGAGTTGGCCAGGTAGGGTGGGACCGCCCTGCCCACACAATAGAGGGTAGAACTTACCTGGGAGTCCTCATTCGGCTCCAGAGCATCTCCCACCCTGCCCTCCCTCAGTTATGCCTTCTTTTGCAGGTTAACCTCTTCTCCATAGGTATGTAGGTGCTGCAACATCATTGGTTGCTGTTAAAGGACTGAGAAGGAAGGAATTTCCCTGCATTGGCAGGTTTTGCCTTCCCCGTAGCAAAACGTCACAACTTTGGTGGTTTCGGGCCTTGGGCGGAATCCTTTAGTCTATCTTCCCTAAATGGGGGGGGGCATGAAGCGGTGACCCATGCCCCCACTGTGGTGATCTCAGGGTTCCCCGTTAAAGAGGTTGTTTTGAGGGGAGTCATTGGCCATACGCCAATAGGTTGTCAGTGGTTTCCCCTTCATTGCAGCAAAATGGGGGGGCGGGCTCTCTGCTTAAACATACGTTTTTCAGAGCCAGCCCAATCCCCACACATTTTGGATAACCCTGATGTTCCCCAGATCCCAGGCTGGGGACTGGGAGGGATAAACCAATGCCTAAGCCAAGGTCTCCCTACATCTGAATCTTAAGTAAAGTTGTGGCCAATTTTAATTCCATAACACGTTGTCATGAGTCATTATTATACTAGGGAGTTGTCTGGGGTTTGGGGGCGTCTCTGCCTGTCTGCGCAATTCTTTATTAGGGGAATGGGCCAGGCAGAAGTCACACTCCCCCAATTGAGGCACCATTTGCATGTCCCCCACCCACCAACCTACAGTCGTACCTCAGAAGTCAAACACCTTTAAACTTGAATGTTTCGGCTCCCGAACGATCGAAAACCGGAAGTGATTGTTCTGGTTTTCAAATGTTTTTCGGAAGCTGAATGTCTGGCGTGGCTTCTGATTGGCTGCAGGAAGCCACGCCTTGGTTCTTGAACTGTTTCAGGAGTCAAACGGACTCCTGGAATGGATTAAATTTGAGAATCAAGGTACAACTGTATTTCACGTGAAGGTTGTTGGAACATTAACAACTATCCCCTCCTTTGTTTGCCAGTTCCCCCGCTACACTATTACAGATTGTCTCTGGAGACCAAAGTACTGCACATCAAATAAAAGATACATTCTTGGTATCCTTGTAACAATTTGCACGACTTAATATGTGTGCAAAACAAACTCCTTCTGCGCTGTACTTGATTTTAAAAAGAATTTGGGAGGTTGCTGAACCTTAAGAACTGGTATTTTCAAAAATGATGCTGGGAATGTTTGTTTGAAGGGGGAATATTTGTGAATTTGATCAGTGGGACAACAGCCACTTTTTCCTTTGGAAAGATAAATGGTTATCTTTCATTAACTACTGGTAATGTGTCTTCCTGTTCCTACTAATACACACATGGTCTTAAATACTCACATTACTAGTAGTCCTTCACCATGATTGACATTCCCAAGCTGCACTCCTCTAAAATACAATGCAATTGTGTCATGGGCCTCAAAAGCTTTACAATATCCTTTTTGAGACTATCTGACCAGAGTTGTACATTTTATTTCAAATTTGGTTTTGCAAAATAATTTGGTATAAAGGCATTATAATATGGACAGTTTTCTTATCTGTCCCTTTCCTAATGATTCCTAATGCAGGATTCACCCCTTTATAAAGCTTCTGCATTCTGGGTCCTCGACAGCTTTAATAGAATGAGATGCTCTTTGTTTCACCCACCCAGAGAAGAACTTGTTGTTTTTGTTAAAATAATAATAATGGCAAGCACCAGTTGTATGGAGGAGCAAATCCACAATATTGAAATACTGCAAATATTGTATTTAAATATCACTGTAAAAGGAACAGGATTTCAAAGGCTAATTATTATGTGCCTATGTATGTGACATACACAGGCATTGTTCAGCAATATGGTGGAAAATCTTGCATTGGAAGTTTAGTCTTTTTAATCCTTTTCCTATTGTTCAAAATGTGTGTGTGTGTGTGTGTGTTTGAAGAGTCTCAGACACTGATGGTCTTAATTCTTTCTCACTGTAATGTCTAGTTGCAAGTTGACTTTAGCACATTTCAGTTCCATCAGTGAGCATATGCATAATACAAAAGTCGTTTGAAAAAAAATGTTCTGGGAGCCTTAAAGAGAAAGAGCTAGAACATGGGTAGGCAAACTAAGGCCTGGAAGCCGGATCTGGCCCATTCGCCTTCTAAATCCGGCCTGCGGATGGTCCAGGAATCAGCATGTTTTTACATGAGTAGAATGTGTCTTTTTATTTAAAATGCATCTCTGGGTTATTTGTGGAGCATAGGAATTTGTTCATTCCCCCCCCCCCAAAAAAAAATAGTCTGGCCCCCCACAAGGTCTGAGGGACAGTGGACTGGCCCCCGGCTGAAAAGGTTTGTTGACCCCTGAGCTAGAATATTATAGAACTGCCATTTCAAGAAAGACCAAAAGAAAAGAAAAAAACAAAGAAATCCCATTGGGTCGCTAAATTCATTTCTTGCTTTCTGTGTTCCAGGTTACTTTGACGCTCATGCTCTCGCCATGGATTTCATTAGCATTGGGTTTCGAGAATGCTTAACTGAAGTTGCAAGATACCTGAGTTCAGTGGAAGGACTGGACACATCTGACCCTCTAAGAGTTAGACTAGTCTCTCATCTCAGTTCATGTGCTTCTCAGAGGGAAGCTGCAGCAATGACCTCAACCATGGCACATCACCACCACCCTTTGCATCCTCACCACTGGGCGGCAGCTTTCCACCATCTCCCTGCGGCTTTACTGCAGCAGAATGGACTCCACACTTCTGACATCTCCCCATGCAGACTCTCGACAGCATCAGAAGTGCCTCCCCATGGATCTGCTCTGCTCACGGCCACTTTTGCCCATGCCGATTCTACGCTTAGAGTGCCCTCTGCTGGCAGTGTTGCTCCCTGCGTCCCGCCACTTTCTACCTCTCTCCTCTCGCTCTCGGCCACCGTACATGCTGCAGCGGCAGCGGCAGCTCAGAGCTTCCCGCTCTCTTTTGCTGGGGCATTCCCAATGCTGCCACCTAGTGCAGCGGCCGCAGTGGCAGCTGCAACAGCAATCAGCCCACCGCTGTCCGTATCAGCATCTGCCAGCCCGCAGCAAGCCGGTGGGAACGGAAGCAGTAAACCCTACCGACCCTGGGGGACTGAAGTTGGAGCTTTCTAAAAAAAATCTACGCAAGCCTTCCTGGGGCATTTTACAGTTGCAATAGAAAGTCTTTCACACAAAGACTGTTAACAGGTCAAGTAGCCCTTTGGATTCCCAGAAGACGGGAGAGAAATAGTAAGACGTATTCTGCCTTAATATTGGTCAAAATGAACAGGAGGTCTTTCTTGTTCAACAGACTGGACCACAATGATCTTCAAGAACGATGACTCCCCAGTAGGCGTTTCCTGAGAAATGTATAGAGTGTAGAATTAATCCTCTTGCCATGCATTTTTATTTGTTAAAGGGGCGCTGGATTTATAGCTAAAGAAGCCTACCTGAAAGATGAACGCTAAGTTTAAAATGCGCAAGTGCCTGACCTCTTCCAAATGTGTGCGGGGTGTGTGTGTGTGTGCACGTGTATGTGTTTTTCTTTACAAGGCAAATAATAAAAGTCCAAGTATGAAAATAATACTGGAGAGAAGAGTACAGAGATCCAGCACAGGGATACCATTCTTGAACAAAATGTATACCCTAAGGCTGTATTCCCTTGACATGAGTGGGATCTAAGCCAGCTAACTGTGCAGGATTACAAACTATGGAATAGCCAAGCAGATAACTGAGGATGTATACGCTAAATTTAATCTAATCTAATTCACTTTCTTTGTGCAGACTTGTCAGATGGTGACACGCATGGTATTGACAAAAGCACTGATCTTTCCAGTGCTTGGTCTTGCAAGACTTCAAGCATCCTGGCACTTGGTGGCATAAAATTATAGCCAAGTGTGTTACATGTACATGTGTGAACACCAGGATAAATCTGACTTATTTGATTCCCTTTGCAAGCGAAAATACCGCATCCTCCAGATGGGATGCAAGTCCTCTTCATAGTCAGCTGTTGGGAATTGGCATGAATGAGTAGCTGTCATGCAGGCAACAGGATCCTTTGGGTTGTCTTTCTCCATTGCCAGTGTTTTTGTATCGGTTCAGTTCTCAACCCAAACAAAAGTGTTGGGAGTTTAAGTTATGTTCTTACTACCCAGACAAGCAGTGCTACAAAAATGCTTTGCTTTTTTTTATTTTATTGCAGCAACATGAAATAACAAGTATTTTAATTCATTGACTCAAGAGCTAGAAAGTTTGTTGTTGGGGGTGGGTCGGGGAAGCAAGTTAAATAAAAGCACAGCATGTATTATTATGCACTTCATTTCTCTGCTGTGTGGAGAAAGCAATAAGCAGTGAGAATGTTAAACATTATGCAAAATATACTTTTAAAATATTTGTTTTAAAAATACTGTTCCTAGTCAGGGGTGGGGTGGGGAAATTGTGCATTATTTTGTTAACCTTTTTTTTTCTATGCAAAAGTCTTTAAGTATCACTAATTAAATGAAGTCTTTTTTTGACTGACTTCTGGTTTGTTTTGGTGTGCCCGCTGGAAGTGAAAGGTCTGACTGTGAGGTAGAAGTTCAGATCAGCCCAGATGGAGAAACTTCCTGCACTTTCTGGTCTGTGTGTGCTTGTGCACACACACAGTACTAACCTATTCTACAACTTTTGAGTGTGCAATGTGGTCTCTCAGTTTCTGCATAACTTGATTGTACCCCATGTTTGGGGACATCATGCTACTGAAAACGTCTACAGTTGAATGTCCAAACCTAAGAGTGACTTTGGAAGGCTGAGCCAGACACAATGTTCTGCACATGACTGGTCCCTGTATGCTTAGCTTTTGTTGGTTAAATAGCTGTTGCAGGGGAGCTGATCGAGAATGGGGGCTGCAGGATGGAGAGGGCCATCAAGTCGGTTAATCCTGCTACAGTGCTGACTGTGCCCCATGCTTCCCCAATGACTTCTGCTTACCCCCAGGACACAAGCTACCACAAGCTACCTGTTAGCTTTCCTCCAGGGAGAAATCAACTCCCCTTCATGCTCTGCCCCCATGGCTGCTATTTAATTAATGAAAACCAAGCACATGAGGTACAACCACACACGTAACATCTAGGCTGGCCTTATATTGGTTCAAAGTGTTTGGTGATACATGATAAATAAGAAAGATAGAAAACTGCAGCTATTGTCCCCAGTCCTCAGTGGTTTTAGTTTCCAAAAGGGGAACCTAGGATAAAACAAAAAAGATGACTAGCAGTTAGGAATGGCCTTTCTCATTTTCCCTGTCTTAGGTTTTTTACATACATTTCCACATCAGTTTGCATTTTTTTTAAAGTCCTCATGAAAATCCATCAGTGCAAATTTCTCCTACTATACACATTTTTAATAGATTTCTGGAAAGCTGTTTCCCCTAGTATGATGAATTTTCGTACGTTATTTTCATTAATCCATGCATTTTTGTGCACAATATTTGGTTGGAGAACTGCATTGCAAAGTGTGAATTTTGATTGACGGCTGTGTCTTGGGTTCAGCTATTTCAGAAAGTGAGGCTTGTCTTTAAATGCAAACTTTAAATCCAATTTCTCTCTGCCTCCCACCTCCCAATCCCTACTTGAAATATTCACATTTTATATTAGCACGTGAACAAGCAGATTAAAAGATATTGTCTGTGTTGCAGTTCTAAGGACCCTCCTTAGAGGGTCCCTGCTGTCTCCTTGGCAGTTTGCAAAGACACGGAAAACAAAAATGGTTACCCCATTGGCCCCAACATGAACAATCCACAACAAAGTGAGCACACAGTTCCTGTCCTAGATTGGCACTCTGCTGCTTAGCTCAGTTAATAAATTATCTGGGAGGACCAAGAACGTCAGCTCTGCACTTCTCCTAGATGGCCTTCACATAACAGAACAGGGTTTTTTTAAGTAAAACTAGGCACTATATTTTGTGTTTATCTCACACAGTATTTCATTGATTCCATCTCTTGCATTTTACTTGGAATACAGCAATACAGTTTAAGCTATAACTTCAGATATACACTTCTGAACTATGGGTCAGGTTCTGCCCCATTCAAAGGTACTCAGGCTGAAGCCTGTACAGTGGTACCTCGGGTTAAGAACTTAATTCGTTCCGGAGGTCCGTTCTTAACCTGAAACTGTTCTTAACCTGCGGTACCACTTTAGCTAATGGGGCCTCCTGCTGCTGCCGCGCCGCCGGAGAACGATTTCTGTTCTCATCCTGAAGCAAAGTTCTTAACCTGAGGTACTATTTCTGGGTTAGCGGAGTCTGTAACCTGAAGCGTCTGTAACCCAAGGTACCACTGTAGACCAGAGTTGGGGAACCTGTGGCCCTGCTGATGTCACTTGATTTCAGTTCCCATCAGCCCCAGCCAGCATGGCCAGTGGGCAAGAATTATGGGAGTTGTGGTCCAATATCTAGAGGATAGTGCCTGAACTGAAAGTGAGCGTATGTCAGCAGAGAATGAAGTGTGTGCATGTCAGCTAGAAAATGCTAGTGAAAAGCTTTGCTTGCATGCTAGGGCTGGATAGGACTTGTACTGTAATAAGATGCTGAATTAACAAAGCAGGAATGAGTTGAGCCCTTTCAAATAAAACCTGCTTTTCCTACAGCTTGTGCCCATGTTGCTGTCAGGGAGCGAAGCAATGGGGTTTGCATGGGAATGACAATCTAGTAGCTCAAAAGGACATAAGTGTTATTCCAGTGTAGTGCTATGTCATTACAGAACTGGTTTGGCTGTAGTCATGTGCTGTGTAGGAAAAAATGGTCAAAACTATATATTTTTTCTGTACAGCACTATCATAACAAAAGAGAAAGGGATAAAATCCAGAAATGTTCTAAACCTTTTAGATCCTGTTTAAACCATGTAATGTTTTGCAAACAATTTACTTCAAATGCTGAGCTTAAGAACAGCTTTATTAAGACACTGAGAAACAATTCAGCATCATGATGCTTTTAAAAATAGATGCAAAATATTCCCTTTACCTAGCTTCTTTTAAGAAGGAGGGGCAAAGAAATTACAAGGCTCTCAAGCAAATCAGATGCAAATATATTTATTGGATTAAGCCACAAACACTGATCTGCACAGATAAAATACTGTGGCCAGTAATAACGAAGGAAAAACATATTTGGCTACTCCTTTAAGTGCCACTTTGTCTTCCTTCAGGACCTGGTAAACCTGCAAGAATGAGTCACATTAGTAAATCACTATTCAACCACAATGTGCTTTTCTAAGAGAATGAGGATTACGACAGTCAGTGCCTGCTGCCCACTGACAATCATGGGAACCGACCTCAGTAATAAATCCAGGCATTATCTGGCTCAATACTGACCAGTTCTCACGCCACAACAACTCTTTTGATGTGACCGTCAAAAGCCAAGGATGCCCAAAAGCAGTAGCAGAATTATAAGCAAAAGCCACACACACACACACACACACACACATACACACAAAGAAATAATTTAGCAGAAATATGTAAAGCTTGCTTCCCAGGCAGTTTTCTGTGGACCATTCTGCTCTGTGCCAAAACTTCACAGATGTAAAGAGAATGAAAATGTTGCCGTATTTGTGCACATAATATTTACTAATACTGAGTATGATCCAACCAGAAGTTAAGCGCTGTTATGTCTCATTGATTCTAGGAGGAGAGATTTAAACCTAAGTGGGGAAAAACCGAAAAACACACAATGGGACTTACGAAACTTAATGCCAGCTGGATCTTGCCCAATGTTTGCCCATAATATACAGACTACAGTATTATTGATTTTCAGCTCCACCTTTCATGTGTACACACAGCCAGAGAAAAAGCTTAGCACATGAAGCAATCCTTATCCTTGATACAGGGCTGTAGCATAGCTACCATGCTGAGAACCCATATTCCGTGCCAGATGTTCTGGAAACATGGGAGATAGTGGCTTCCTAGAAGCTCAGGAGGCAAATTCTTGCCAGCTAGCCTTTTGCATAGGCACTCTCCTGTATGACATGTGTTTTATATACAACAGTGCCCTCACACAATGGGGAAATAGCAAGGTTACACGTGCAAGTCATGCCAGTGCACCTATTGGAGTTGCCCCCAGCAGATGTGCATTCAGTACCAGTGCAGAGAGAGGCCGATGCATGTAGCCATTGTTCCTTCATAGACTGAGAGGGGACAGGTTATATGGGGCAAACACAGAAGCCCCTTTTCACAGTAGTGTGGGCGAGGGCCCCCTAAGACGCTGAATTAACACAAGAGTGTTCATTGCAAACAGCCTACAGATCTAAGTGGACATATTAGCTGTACAGAACATTTTGTTTTCTTCTTGCATTGATGAATTGCTTTCCCTGAGGCATCCCAAAGCGATTTACAATATATGAGATGTGTAAAACAGTTACCTCATATTTTCCCTGCAGGTGGCTACAACTATTAGAACTCCAAACTGTTTCAGTTGGAGCTGGAGGAAAACATTTTTTGATTCAGAATTCTGTTAACAAAGAAGTCTTGAGTTTCTGCAAGGGATGGATGAACCTTCAGTTTCTCATTTTTTACAGTCTTAAGTTCAATTTTCCCACTTTTTAAAAAAAGATGGTACAAATTTTCTGGCAATTTCCCCTCAATACATGCATTTTTGTACAAAGTTCTTGAATATTTTTGCAATTTTTGCACATTATTTTCATTAACATGAATTCTTTTGCCTAACATATGTATTTCTTTGGTTAGAGAACAGCATCTCAACATTTGAACAAGTGTGAAATTTCCGCCTGTGCTCAAAAAAGCATGAGTCCGAGCCACTTTCTAAGGCTTCTGATCATTTTAATTGGGGATCTTCATGTAACGCACGGACCACACAATGGAGCTACGAGTCCTCCCTTCTATTATTTATAAAAAGGATGGTTTCGTTTAAAAGTAGAGTCTTGTTGTCAGCTAGGAGGAAGGCACCTCAGGACCACTTCATTCAACCAAAAGCATTCCTGGTACGGAAGAATTATTAACCAAAAGCGTGCACACACATAACGCGTAGGAATCTCACAATTTCCTACAAAGAAATAGCTTGGACAGCTGCTTTTTCATTTGTGCACACAGGTCTTAAGTACTACTGTAAGTCGCATCACTACATTTAAAACAAATACAGAAATTTCTTTTAGGCCCCAATGAAAGTTTGGTCATGGGACTAGCATGCCCCCTTGTGGGATACTTCTGTATTTATTCTAAGCAACAGAGTAGACCAAATGGCTTTTGGAATGCTGCAAAATATTTTGAAGAATGGAAAAGAAGCTTCTCTTCCCAAGGCCTGGGGAACCACTAACAGTCAGAGTAGACAGTAATTATTATTATTATTATTATTATTATTATTATTATTATTATTATTATTATCATCATCATCATCATCATCATCATCATTACTACGAACTTTTCATCCTACCCTTTCTTTAAAGAGCTCAGGTCAGGAAATATAACAAGCAAATAGAAAGAGAACCTACCCAAGTGACTCTGATACTAAACCCCACATTGACACTAAGTACATAAAAG